TCGCGCACGCTGCTAGACCCGGATGAGCTTTTTTGGGTTGGTAAAGCACTTGGTCACAGCGGGAATACCACTCAAGATTAAGTGGAAACCCCAGGGCTAGTATTTCATATACCCGTTAGTAAGGTACACCCCCGAAGACTTGTTTACTGTATAATGTGTAACATGTGCGGAATTATTGCATGCACAATTGATTCCTCAGCATGCATATTCAGTCTCAAGCTTCCGTTCTGTAATATGTGCGTAACAAACTCGTGTCAGTGATACGTCACCCGTGACAGAGATACGTGAGTTATTGTCGCGGGTCCATTATTGTGCGGGCTTATTGCGATTAAAAAATATTATAATGTTGTCACCCTAGTTTAGAAATGCTCAAAAAAATAAATACAGACCCAACCGCACAGAAACATTAGAATGCCTACCCACATGTGACACGAGAGCTTCTATAGACGGATGCAAGCATACGAGCAACTACCCACGCAGGCCACGTACGGCTGTAAAAATAAGCTACTAAACAAGGTAGTTTTCCTTGCACCATTTGCAAGGCAGCACAAGCTCAGTAATCCTCATGAGCGCGTCAAAACAATCGTACGTGCAATGCACGTCCCCCTGTCCGTTGACAGCTCCAGCCCCGCCTGCACCAAGAGGACCAACTGCAGGGGCAACATTTACATGTGAAGGCAAGTATCGTGACAAGAAGGAAGGCGGAAAGAGATCTATACAGGATTACATATGCATTCGAAACATCAGCATACGTACTGTCGCGTCGACGAAGCCGGCATCCATCGAACACGCTGTCATCTGGCGAATTGTGGCGACCCTTCTTAGGTGACGCGACTGCCTCTCACGCACGCTTGGGTGGTGCAAAGTTTCGGCCATGTGCCTCGAGGGGCGGCGCAGATGCGCCTGCGGACGTGTAACCGGCTTGGGCGCCAGCTCCTTTGCCAATGTCGCTGACATACTTTTGCGACGCGGAACGCCATGCAGGCCAAAGCACGCAAATAATGGGTCCTCGCTCTCTAGTGAAGCCCATCGATTATCATCGTTGTTGTTAACAACATTTGCGACGGGTTTTGAGACCTCAACAACCTCGGACTTGATGTGAGGTGGGCGGGAATCCATGGCTATATTCGGTGTTACGAGTTAAGGATTGCTAACTAACTTGGAAGGTGGGCTTGGGCGATGAAATGTCGTGTGATGCACTGCCGTAAGATGCGGCAGGCTTCACACCTTGGCTTTTCGCAGGATAACGCACGGAAACGTACTTCACCGTATTGTGACTGCCCAAAACGCATTCACACCTCGTGAAGTTCTCACACCTCTCAATACGTAGGAACGCACACCCTCAACTAACTATAGGACCGCTTAGCGTTCGCGCTACAAATACGCAGATTGTTGTTGCGTAAACAGAGCTATCTATCCACCAGCGTAGCCTCATGTACAAACTTACAGCCATGACCACTCAGCATGTTGACGGTGACCATCAGGAAAGCGACCCCGTCTGCCTAACACGCAGTTCCCACAAGCCGAATGGGAATATGGTCTCGCGCGTGGTGCTCGACAAGGTCGTGCTGGGGACACCGGCACGAGAACGCTTAACATGATGGAGCGTGACAAGGAATAATTCTCAGCACAAGGCCAATCCTAACGACGAGTATCGTAGGTCATGTCGATATACGCTTAGCCGTCCCACCATCTTGCTAAATTGGTGACATGTCAGACACGTGGTAGATGACATCGAGCACGACGACGACGACGTAGATGCTACCAACAGCACAGCTGGAGCGGGTAGCGGGGCTACTACGGTGACAAAGGAGCCACATGTGAGGGCGAAGCTGGGTGTTGTGCGGAAGGGTACGTGTGCAAAGTCTGCCATCGCTTCGTGTGATATCGCAAACATATTGAGTACAGGCGCAACAAGAACTAACATGCGGTCGTTTTCGTGAAACAGGGAAAGGAAAGAAAGTCTCGCAAGGTGTCCCATAGCAGAAAGGGTTCTTCCATCAGTCCGTGCGTCACCAAGGAGCGAACAATGAGACGCCTTCAGGTATGTGGCTGTTCTGTCGGTAAATATTGTCAGAAAATTATAGCTTACTTATTTGTGTAGGCTATAGTGGGGTATCCCATAGGGGGTACAACCCAATTAGGGTTTCCTATTTGTACTCACTTCGTTCATAGTCATTCCATTCTCGTTCTATTCTTCTCATGACGTGTACTTCGTTCCGCTCCTGCAGCAGGTTCTTGGTCTTACACCTTCTCCTGGTCCTCCTCCTCCTCCCTTAGAGGGTCCACAGCCTGTCCAGTCACAGTCACAGCTACAGCCTGCCTCCCCTTTGCCTGCTCCTTCTCCCTACGCTGATCCGACTGGACGTCTTACTGAGCGTCGTGAGCCTGCGTCTCGTCCTGCGTCGCCTGTTCGTACTGCGCGCACAAGTGGTCGCGGTTCGCGTCAGCGTCCTCCTCCTGTCCCTGGCACGCACCGGATGTCTCTGCGTCCGTCCACTGCTCCTCTGCGTGCCCCTTTGCCTTCTCCTCCTGCTTCCTCTCTTCCTGCTCTTGCCGACCCGGAGTCGGACTCTCTTCGTGCTGCCAGTCCTACTGTCACGCGTCTCCTTGCTACTGCTGTCTCTGACCCTTCTTTCGAGTCTTCTGCTGCGTCTGCCCTTGTCACTGAGCTTGTTGACTTTGCTGCGCGCTGTCGTCTAGACTACGCTGCTAGTCTTGTCGCTGAGTCTGAGTCTACCTGTCCTCCGTCCGTCAGGGGTGAGTGTGCCCTTGGCACGGACGTCCTTGAGGACAAGCAGGAGGATTTCCAGTGTCTGGCTGCTGCTTCACCTCATCTCGCGTCTGTACTGCTCGCCCCTGAGGGAGACCCGGATGCACTAGACATCCCGACTCCGCGCTCTTACGCGGAGGCGATTGAGGGTCCCTACTCCTCTCAGTGGCAGGCAGCTATGGATGCAGAGATGGCTTCTTGGAAGTCCACAGGCACCTACGTTGACGCTGTTCCCCCTCCTGGGGCGAACATAGTCAGTGGCATGTTCTCCGCCTGTCTTCAAGGCGCGTTACGTGGCTCGTGGCTTCAGACAGCGGCAGGGAGTTGACTACTTTAAGACCTTCTCCCCCACCCCGAAGATGACCACTCTTCGGGTACTGCTGCACGTTGCTGCTCACCGTGACTACGAGCTGCACTCTCTCGACTTCAGCACTGCTTTCTTGCAGGGCAGCCTGCACGAGGAGATCTGGCTGCGTCGCCCACCTGGCTTCACTGGGTCTTTACCTCCTGGTACCCAGTGGAGTCTCCGGCGTCCAGTCTACGGTCTCCGCCAGGCGCCACGTGAGTGGCACGACACACTGAGGACTACGCTGGTGGCACTTGGGTTTGCTCCTTCTACTGCCGACCCGTCGCTGTTTCTGCGCACCGACACCTCTCTGCCGCCGTTCTACATCCTCGTGTACGTCGACGACTTGGTCTTTGCCACAGGTGACACTGCTGGACTCGCCTACGTGAAGTCCGAGCTGCAGAAGAGACACACGTGCACTGACCTGGGTGAACTGCGCAGCTATCTTGGCTTGCAGATCACCCGGGACAGAGCACGCCGCACCATTACCCTGACTCAGTCACACATGGTGCAGCAGGTCCTTCAGCGCTTCGGCTTCACGTACTTCTCGCCTCAGGCCACTCCTCTGCCTACTCGCCACTCGCTCTCAGCTCTGCCTTCGGATGAGTCCGTAGAGTCGAGTGGCCCGTATGCAGAGCTTGTTGGCTGCCTCATGTACCTGATGACCTGCACACGACCTGAACTTGCATACCCTCTTAGCATTCTCGCACGCTATGTTGCTCCTGGGAGACACCGACCAGAGCACATGGCTGCAGCGAAGAGGGTGTTGCGCTACTTGTGCAGTACGTCGGGCATGGGGCTAGTACTTGGAGGGCGCAGTCCAGTGGTCCTCACTGGGCACGCGGACGCTTCTTGGGCTGACGACCAGGCTACCCAGCGGTCGTCACAGGGTTACACCTTCAGCCTTGGTTCCGGCTCTGTTTCGTGGCGGGCTACCCGCTCGTCTTCTGTCCTCGGCTCCAGTTGTGAGGCTGAGATCTACGCCGAGGCTATGGCTGCACAGGAGCTTTGCTGGCTCACCTACCTGCTGACCGACCTTGGAGAGCCGCCTCGTTCTCCTCCAGTCGTGTACGTAGACAACAAGGCCATGCTGGCCTTGTGTCGAGAGCAGCGACTGGAGCACAGGACAAAGCACATTGCTCTCCGCTACTTTCTTGCTCGTGAGCTACAGCAGCGTGGACAGTTGCGACTTGCGTACGTGGCCTCTAAGGCCAACACTGCTGATGTCTTCACCAAGGCACTTGCGCCTTGTGATCATCAGCGCTGCTGCACGCAGCTGGGTCTTGTGCCTGTCTTGCCTTACTTGCTCACTTCTTGACCTTGCTTGTACCTTCACCTATATATACTCTTGTTCTTGCTTGCTTGACTCTTGTATATCTCTATATATGATCTTGCATGTGAACTGGCCTTGTGGCCTTTGAACTTGTGCTCGGAATGTGTGGTGACTTTGTGATCCACCCTGAGCTTTGCTTTGCTTTGCTTGACTGGTCTTGTGACCCCTTGTTCTCCCCCACTTTGCCTATGGGGGTGTGTCAGAACATTATAGCTTACTTATTTGTGTAGGCTATAGTGGGGTATCCCATAGGGGGTACAACCCAATTAGGGTTTCCTATTTGTACTCACTTCGTTCATAGTCATTCCATTCTCGTTCTATTCTTCTCAAATATGTATGTGGCTCGCGTGTTTGTGGACTGAGATGCAGATGCTAGACTGACGCTTACATGTCTGGGTCCATTGCAGGGCATGTCGGTGATGTCAATTGACTTAGTGGCAGAGGGGCGTATGTGGATGGCGTGCCGGAGACCTCAAGGTTTTGCATGACTACGGTTGGGCGACGGTATCAACGACGCTATGAGGGCAATGCAGGCATAGTTCGGAGACATGAAGCGCGCTCTGCAGGAGTCCAACGAAGCCATCCAGGGCCTTAATGCGCTGGTCCAGCAGAGTCTGGACTTGCAGCGGGAGGTGCAAGCCACGCTACGAGCGTTGCAAGCTTCTGAACTACCCAATGCCCCTGTTGCGCCGAACAATGGGAATGGCGATGGCGCACCAGGTGGCTCTGGTTCTGGCTCTAACGACCTTGCGGAGGAGACGCACGAGTCAGAGCTGAAGAGAGCGGTGGCAGCTATCATGGAGCCCGCTAAACACTCAGGTCACTCTCACTTGTTACGCGTTTGATGATGTACTTGCTGCAGTCGTAGTTCCATTTCCCATTTTCACCAGCTGCTATGATTGCATTAGTCCGAACTAGTACAACAAACTACTGCTCTGATTCTGCGTGCTTCCCTTGTGTAGTCTCGCTACGTGGCAGTGTACCAGAAGTGCATCACTGAAGGTGATGGAACTGGCGACAAGGGGCTCTCCATGTGGCCTGACCACAACGTGGTGGTGCATTGGAGCGCGGCTACTGGCGCGATCTGGGAGAGCCAGAAGGAGAAGCTGCTGTACTGCCTCAACCACTCGGCGGAGCACAGCAACACATGGTCTGCAGTCGCTGCTCGCATGCGCGGAGGCATCGTGCGTGTGGGCAAGACGGTGCTGTTTCGCTTCCTGGGCATTCCGCGCCATGTGGCGGATCTGCCCAAAGAGGTCCCATGGAGGGTGGTAACCTGTACAGTGTACAGGATTCCTCGTAACAGCCTTCGAGGCATACCCGATAGGTGAGTGATGTTGATGTCACAGCCGTTCCCAGCCAAGTTCCAGATTTGGTTTTAACCCGTTGCAAGTTGTCTAGGGTTGTTCCTAATGCAGCCCAACCCCACATTATCCTCGCATTCCCTTCCCACCAGGCCAGTACTCGATGCCATGGCACTGCAACGAGGACGGCTTGCCATTCAGCACCCCAGAGTTTGAGATCTTCATTGCTGCTGCCTACTGGCCCCTCCTGTCACGAAAGGTGGTGCATATCTACCCGTACACGCTGGCGTTCGCCTTGTATGGGATGAGTGGTTGGTAGGTCTCTGCTTCACAGCTCTTGGTGATGGCATCTTGCAGATACTTAGCCCCATTGTCCCCTCTTATATGGCAGGCGGAGTACCCTATTGTGCACCATGATCGCAACAGAGCAGGGCTGCCCACCGTGGACACACCTAACATCCACAACACTAACCGCATGCGCGCGATCGTCGTCAACTGACTGTGTGACGCGATTGTGAGGACGTATGGCACTCCTCAGGGTCCACGATGGGACCCTGACGAGGGTGCGTACCAGTTCAGCGCGCGCACGCACTTCAAGGTGCTCATTGCCTTCCCTCCTCCCAAAGAGGCCTGGGCTTTGCCCACGGAGATTGTGGGACCGGAGATGAGCGAGGGGGATGATGAGATTCCCGCTGCTCCAACTGGGCATGCTGAGGCTTGAAGCCTGGCTCTGCTGTGGATGGGAGGTGATGGGATGGGAAGTGCTGCGATGATGAGTGCCAATCGGTAAGCCGTCAGTCATTGTAAATAGGGGTTCATGTCTGGGCTGGGGTGTCCTTTTTTTGGGGGTGGAGGGAAGCCTCTTTTTGCTGGGTATAATTTTTTGTGTTCCTACAACCACTGACAAATAGACGATCACACAAAAACCGTGTACATTTCCACACTGTCTAAGCCAGCAGAAACCTTGCTTGTATTCTGTAACAGTCGCCACAATGGTAACCTCCGTTACATGGTAACTACGTGGCAGGCGCCACCCATAAGTTGTTACAGCTGTTACCCGGTTACCAACGTAACATATGTCATCAAGTAACACCGTAACCGTGTAACCACACCATAGTAACAATGTAACCCTGAGTGAGTTGGTAACTGTTACACTGCATCATTTAGAGTCGCGAAACACTTAAAGCCACTTTGTACATATCAAGTATGTAGTAAGAAGCTAGTAGTTCAGTACAACAATGTCCCGATTCCATCGTATGCTGTAACGGGGTTCAGAAGTAGGGTATGTACATCTAGATTGTTGCAACCCTCACGAGAGGAAGTAGGTGTCCACTACTTGCGATGACCAGACCTCTTTGGCACTAACAGAGTACAGGGCTGGTAGAAAAACCTGTACATACCACAATGAACCCGACTTTCGAGCTTATCCAATGAACCGTTTATGGAAAATGGGAGTAGATACTTTGTGGAGTCGGCCCAATGTTTTGGGATGCACCCTATTTTAGTCGCCAACTTGTGCCTTGACCGCCACTCGGCAGGGCCCAAATTATCAGGGTAAAATACCCTGTTTGCCCTAATGAGCGGCCACTTTTTCCCAGTTACCCTTGCCAAATCAGCCTATGGAAATGTTTACCATGCCCTACGAAGTCAGGCTTTTTTCTCTGATTTGCACAAAAAACTCTTATATTTCAGATTTTTTTTCTAGTGTACTCTGTTAAAATCAGACTTTTTTGGGCCCAAACTCTGTAATTTTCAGACTTTTTTTAAGCCTAACTCTGAGAGTTCAGAGTTTTCTGAGAGTGTACTATGATCATTCAGAGTACAAAGTTACAACAAACGCGTCCTTGACAGGTGATTCGGACTTACGGGTTGCAATAGATTCGCAATGTCAACGCAAAATCGCCTTGACACAGCAAATCCGAGCCTTACATCACAAGAGTTTCGCCCAATCATAGCAAAATCGCCCTGACACAACAGATTTGCGCTATCAGAGCACAACAATTTTCGACCAATCACATAAAACTCGCCCTGACATTGCAGATTCGCTCTTTCACACCACAAGATTCGCCCTGACACATATATTCGCCCTGTCAGAGCATGTTTTATCGGAAATACCCTTAGTGTTGTGTGTTTCGGTAGCAGATGAATGAAACATTGATTACATTCCGATAAAACATTGAATACACTGTTTTTGAATGATCAGACCTTTTTTTTTAGGACACTCTGAAATTTCAGCCTTTTTTTATACCAACTCTGAGATTTTCATACTAAAATTGTGTACTAGTCTGACGAATCAGACAGGCCAAAAACGAATCTGAGGGCCTGATGTTTACCCTAGTAGAAAATGGGTAAGGTTTGTGAGAAAGAGAACGAGAATGAAATGACTATGAATGAAGTGAGTACATATAGGAAACCCTAATTGGGCTGTACCCCCTATGGGATACCCCACTATAGCCTACACAAATAAGTAAGCTATAATGTTCTGACACACCCCCATAGGCAAAGTGGGGGAGAACAAGGGGTCACAAGACCAGTCAAGCAAAGCAAGGCAAAGCTCAGGGTGGATCACAAAGTCACCACACATTCCGAGCACAAGTTCAAAGGCCAAAAGGCCAGTTCACATGCAAGAACACATATATATAGATATACAAGAGGCTAAGCAAGCAGGAGCAAGAGTATATATAAGTGACAGTACAAGCAAGGTCAAGAAGTGAGGCAAGACAGGCACAAGACCCAACTGAGTGCAGAAGCGCTGATGATCACAAGGCGTAAGTGCCTTGGTGAAGACATCAGTAGTGTTGGCCTCAGAGGCCACGTACGCAAGCCGCAACTGTCCACGCTGCTGTAGCTCACGAGCAAGAAAGTAGCGGAGAGCAATGTGCTTTGTCCTGTGCTCCAGTCGCTGCTCTCGACACAAGGCCTGCATGGCCTTGTTGTCTACGTACAGGACTGGAGGAGAACGAGGCGGCTCTCCAAGGTCGGTCAGCAGGTAGGTGAGCCAGCGAAGCTCCTGGGCAGCCATAGCCCTGGCGTAGATCTCAGCCTCACAACTGGAGCTGAGAACAGAAGACGAGCGGGTAGCCCGCCATGAAACAGAGCCGGAACCGAGGCTGAAGGTGTAAACCTGTGACGACCGCTGGGTAGCCTGGTCGTCAGCCCAAGAAGCGTCCGCGTGCCCAGTGAGGACCACTAGACTCCGCCCTCCAAGCACTAGCCCCATGCCCGACGTATTGCACAAGTAGCGCAACACCCTCTTCGTTGCAGCCATATGCTCTGGTCGGTGTCTCCCAGGAGCAACATAGCGTGCGAGAATGCTAAGAGGGTATGCAAGGTCAGGACGAGTGCAGGTCATCAGGTACATGAGGCAGCCAACAAGCTCTGGATACGGGCCACTCGACTCTACGGACTCATCCGAAGGCAGAGCTGAGGGCGAGTGGCGAGTAGGCAGAGGAGTGGCCTGAGGCGAGGAGTACGTGAAGCCGAAGCGCTGAAGGACCTGCTGCACCATGTGTGACTGAGTCAAGGTAATGGTGCGGCGTGCTCTGTCCCGGGTGATCTGCAAGCCAAGGTAGCTGCGCAGTTCACCCAGGTCAGTGCACGTGTGTCTCTACTGCAGCTCGGACTTCACGTAGGCGAGTCCAACAGTGTCAGCAGTGGCAAAGACCAAGTCGTCGACGTACACGAGGATGTAGAACGGCGGCAGAGAGGTGTTGGTGCGCAGAAACAGCGACGGGTCGGCAGTGGAAGGAGCAAACCCAAGAGCCGCCAGCGTAGTCCTCAGTGTGTCGTGCCACTCACGTGGCGCCTGGCGGAGACCGTAGACTGGACGCCGGAGACTCCACTGGGTACCAGGAGGGAAAGACCCAGTGAAGCCAGGTGGGCGGCGCAGCCACATCTCCTCGTGCAGGCTGCCCTGCAAGAACGCAGTGCTGAAGTCGAGAGAGTGCAGCTCGTAGTCACGGTGAGCAGCAACGTGCAGCAGTACCCGAAGAGTGGCCATCTTCGGGGTGGGGGAGAAGGTCTGAAAGTAGTCAACCCCTTGCCGCTGACTGAAGCCACGAGCCACGTAACGCGCCTTGAAGACAGGCGGAGAACCCGGCGGCCGCTTCACCCTGAAGATCCACATGCCACTGACGATGTTCGCCCCAGGAGGGGGGACAGCGTCAACGTAGGTGCCTGTGGACTTCCAGGAAGCCATCTCTGCCAGGCACTGGAACTCCTCCTGCCTGTCCTCGAGGACGTTCGTGCCAAGGGCACACTCACCCCCGACGGACGGAGGACAGAGAGACTCAGACTCTGCGACAAGACTAGCAGCGTAGTCTAAGCGACAGCGAGCAGCAAAGTCGACGAGCTCAGTAACGAGGGCAGACGCAGCAGAAGACTCGAAAGAAGGGTCAGTGACGACAGTAGCAAGGAAACGCGTGACAGTAGGACTGGCAGCACGAAGAGAGTCCGACTCCGGGTCGGCAAGAGCAGGAAGAGAGGACTCAGGAGGAGAAGGTAAAGGGGCACGCAGAGGAGCACTGGACGGGCGCAGTGACATCCGGTGCGTGCCAGGGACAGGAGGAGGACGCTGACGCGAACTGCGACCACTAGCGCGTGCAGGACAAACAGGTGACGCAGGACGAGACGCAGGCTCACGACGCTCAGTAAGACCTCCAGTAGGACCAGCGTAGGGAGAAGGAGCAGGTAAGGGAGAAGCAGGCTGTAGCTGTGACTGGGACGGGACAGGCTGTGGACGCTCTAAGAGAGGAGGAGAGCCAGTAGAAAGTGGAAGACCAAGAACCTGCTGTAGGAGTTGAAAGAAGTACGGTCAAGGCCGCGCGGCGACGCCAGACACAGCAGGGACAGCACCAGTACCCCCTGCAGGAGCACCCGCTCCAATAGCACCTCAAGCAGCACCCCCAGCATCTCTAGAACCCCCAGCAGCACCAGGAGCACCGCCAGCAGGACCGCCAGCGGTAGTCTCAGCGCCAACACCCTCAGCAGCACCAGCTCTAGTCGAACCCGCAGGCCCAGCAGCTCCAGTACTCACAGTACGAGCACCTCCAGAACCCGCGACAGTAGCACCCTCAGCAGTCGAAGAACCTCCAGCACCAGCAGTACGCCTCCAGCGGCGGGCAAACCACTCGCGCAGCTCCTGTGGAGAGAGTGGCTCCCGGCGAGACGAAGCACCCGGCGAACCTCCAGGCGAAGAAACTCCAGGCTCAGCACCCCCAGGCAAAGCACCTCCAGGCTCAGCACCCCAGGCTCCGCCCCCCCAGGCTCAGCACCCCCAGGGAGAGCACCCCCAGGCTCAGCACCCCTAGGCTCAGCACCCCCAGGCTCCGCACCCCCAGGCTCCACACCCCTAGGCTCAGCACCCCCAGGCTCAGCACCCCTACGCCAGCCCTAGACAGCTCTCCCCAGCGGGGGATCTCCGTGGCCTCCGGAAACTGCTGACGCCAAGCGTCCGTCAGGCGGCCAAAACAGCGCTGGGTGAGGTGGGCACCCCCACACTGCTCACCCGCGCGGTCGGCGGTGCGAAGGACGTAGGTGCAGGGACCAAGACCCCCACCACGCTGACGCTGTGTGTACCACTCACGGAGCTGCTGAGGGGTGGGGACGTCGTGAGAACGCTGCTGCTGCTGCTGCTGGCGCTGACCACCCCCAGTGCTGCTCCGCTGTGAAGTGCCACTCCGACCACCTCCACCACCTCCTCCTCCACCTCCTCCACCTCCG